TTGTGGGGTGACATACACCACACAGGTGGGAAGGACTGATGGTGGAGGACTGTGGGGAATTTGGTGGTGGGAGTGGGTGGTGACATACACCACACAGGTGGGAAGGACTGATGGTGGAGGACTGTGGGGAATTTGGTGGTGGGAGTGGGTGGTGATATACACCACAGAGGTGGGAAGGACCGATGGTAGAGGATTGTGGGGAACTTGGTGGTGGGAGTGGTGGGGTGACATACACCACAGAGGTAGGAGCCAGTATTTCTGAAACATACTGTGTGGTAAACTAAAGTTACCTTAATGAAAAGTAATTTTAAAGGTGACAGTATTAAATAGCGAGAAAAGAAAGAGAAGGAAACTATTGTTTAGGAAAGTCCTTTTCTGTGCTGATTTCAATGAGAAAGACTTTTACATGCTATTCCTTTAATTCACACATCAATGTGTGGAATTTTTTCTTCTGTGTGCCTGTCCAATGCCTCAAAAAATGTTTAGCACATATTAGGCACTCCAGAGAGGGAAAGTAACTGGACTAGAGTCACAGAGCTAATATGTCACCAAGTTGGCCAGACAGCAAGCCGGGCCCTCTGCCTCCACAGCCAGGGAGCCCTCACTGTCCTCAGGAACTTCACATGACACAGGGACAGGCCCCCTGATTTATCCTGTATGAAGCCAATGAAGGTTTCCAAGCCACTTATTCTTTATCTGAAAAAATGAAGAAAAAATTTTTTTCATGTAACATCTACAAGGGTGTATTATAGTTCATGCAGCACTTTAGCATGCAAAATTCCATTTTATCCTCATGACACCCTTCAGGTATGTAAAATAGAAATGGGGAAAGTCTCATAAACTACAAAGGGCCATAAAAGTAAGTATAAACGATTGTATATAAAATAGCAGTTATGAGATATGTAAATCCTATGTTGCTCTTTTCATTCAAGCATTTTCTCCTTAAAAAAAAAAAACAGTCTAAGAATTTGAGTTTTCAATGATCTCTGTAAACAAGAAACCAAGGAACAAACTCCAGAAGGACATTGCCCAGTAAAGAAATTAGTTTCTTACTCCAGGCAGCTACCTGTGGGTTAATCAGACTTGGATGGTTTCCTGTTTCTCCTACTGTCCCTGTTGAAGCTTTCCTTCAGATACATGAATAAATGAATCTGGCTGTAGAAACTATTTATCAGCTCTGTCCAGACCAGAAAGCTGAGGAGAGATTTTGCAAATCCACTGAAACCTGATTGTTCCCCAGCCTTTGTTCCCATTGTGATTAATCTTGTGGATTTAATTCCAAAGCCACAGCAGCCCCTATCAGAATAAGCCACCCTCATTCCAAAGCTGGACCTCTCCGGCCTGTGCTCCTTTGATTGTTGTCAGCCTGCTTATAAAAATGGCCAATAGGTTCTCATTTTCCATTGTTTTCCCCAGAACTGCAGCATTCTAGGGGTGCAGGAGTTGGGGGTTGGGGGGGGTAGAGATTTCTACAGGCATTTTCTTCTTTCCAGGAAGAAGGCAATTTCCTCTTATCAAGACCAGACCCAGACAGCCTCACCTGGTAAGAGAGGGCCAGGTAACTGTGTAGGGCATCAAGGTTCTCAATAAACTCCGTGAGGTTTCCTCCCAGGGTCCGTAACATCCTGTCATAGCCAGACATCTTACAGAATTTAAAGAAGTATTCTCCAAAGAGTTTCAGGACAGTTTCCGTGGAGACACCTGTGGAATCCAAAGCATCCCACCTTAAATTAAGGCATCTATGAAGTGGTGTTTCTCTTTTCAGTGGTCTTCGAGTCCTTCTAGAGGGACCAGATCCTGACTGTGGGAGTCAAGGGCCAAAAACCACTACCATGTCACCAGGCTGTCATGAAGAGCCCACCCCTCACTGGCACCTGACATTAAATGCCTGTCCCTCTCACCCTACTCCAGTCTTTTCCATAGCCCTTGTGGCAGAAATGTCCCCACATTCCTTTAAGGGACTCAGAGCTGCCATATTCCTGTGTCAGCACTCTGCAGGCCAAGCTTTGCTTTGTCCTGGGCATCAAGCACCTACTGCTTTCTCCCCTACAACCTCCTGTGTCAAGCACCCTGATGCTTTCTTCCCTCCAACCTCCAAGTATGCTGGCTTTTTTTTTGAAGATTTATTTATTTATGTTTACGGTACAGGCCAGAAGTGTGGTTGGTGAGAGGACCCACCAGAGAGAATGGGGAGCAGAACAAGCAGATGTACTGAGATACACTGCTGAGGGGAGCAGCGGGCAGGTCAGGAGAGGTCTGCTGTGCCAGGTGTGTCAGCTCCCTGGCCAGGGCTTGAACTCATGCTGCAGTGGCTTCAGAGAGCTTCATAATGTGGTGCTTTATCCCATTGCACCAACAGGGAGAGCCCTATGCTGGCTTTTAATGCAAATGAAAAGCTCCCTCCGAGCAGTTATTAATATCACACACACACAAAAAAATACTGGCAAACCGGTATTGCACCAAAAACTGTGCCAAATGTTTGCAATGACCTCCCCTTTGTTTCTCATCCTCTCCACACCTTGTCTCCCATCAAGATGCCATGTTCACATCACGCTCATAGACTCCTCGGAACATCCACGCCTCTCAGAATTCTGACTGAGATTGCATGGTTTTCCCTAATTACTGTGTGGAAGCATGAACAGTAGTAACTTCGTTTTACATGTCCTCTGTGCTAGACACACTGCTGACAACGTGGGGCAGAACTGCAGGCTGCAGCCCCTATGGCAGAACGGGGCAAGACAGCGTGCCATTAGTGCTACATGGAGGGGCAGTGAGTTTAAAGCCTGTTGTAGTTGCTGAAGCTCATTGGTCAATGTTATTTTACTCAATGCTTGCAAAACCTCTTACGCAGGTGTGTCTGTTGAAGATGAAAGTCATCTCTGTAAATTGGCTCAAATCCCAACAGTAGAGGCTTCAGCGCTCACTTGCTGTCTGGACAGCAGTCCTCTAAGGTGGGGGCTGCCCCTGGGTCATTGACACAGGGGACACACTCCCATTAATGCTAGCAGCCTGGTCCTCTGGAAGAGAACATGTTCTTATTGGCAGCAGAGCGGCAACTCAAGGTAAGTGCTGGAAGCTGGAGAAGGGGCTGGAATGCCCAAATTTATCGGAGACCTGTGGGTTCAATTGCCAGAATCCTAGTTTGGATCCTTGACGGCCTCTACGATACTCTGGTTGGGTCTGGCATCGCAGCGAGGGGCCCCCTAGCTCTCTGGCGCCATCCTGACCAGCTCCTCCAGAGAGGGCAGGAAAGCGGTCTGGGGCTGTCTGGGACCGTCTGGGCACTTTGCAGCCT